TTTCCAGGGCCTGCTTACTGCATCCTGTCTTCCTCCTCTATCATAATTTCCTCCGCAGAATAAGTATCATGTCAACTGTCAGAGCTTTTCATAGAAATTTCATGTCCTCCAGGTAAAGCGGTATGTTAAAGCAAACAACAAAGAAGAGCACCCAGCCTCATAAAGGTTCTGGAGTTTGGCATTCAGCTTACTTTATATACAGCTTTATTCCAACAGAAATTTATCCTATCCTAGGCACCATGGCAGAATCACCTACTGTAACGATTCAAGTTAGTTACCTTGAGAATTACGTAATGATTCACACCCAAAAGGAACAGAGTGGTATAAAACTAATCTATCTAGTCAGATACTTCAGCAGTAAAAAGCTAAAATATTTTTCACATAACTTCTTATAAAAGAGAGTATAATAAAACCTATTTATTGTTTCGATTCCCTTGGATTCACATGAATAAACTGCCTTATCCATATGAGTTTTGGAGTATTTATCTTTTCAAAACCCAGATGGAAGAATGTTATATCTGGTCCCAAAGCATTTTTTTGGCAGCTTTACAGCTTATTTTTGCATTAAGCTTGTCAGTCTCCTTGGAAAGGTTCACAAGGAAAAACCCCATCTTCCATCTATTGTCTCATGGTCCCTTTAAGAAATGCTTTTCTAAAACTTTCAAAATGGCATAAAGGTACATTGATTGATTTACAGATTGCTGCATAGCTAAATAAATTGTTGTATTCTATATATTTCAAAGAAAGAGAAATATTGTGATATATGTGCATCTGCAATGGCCTTTTTAACTCTTTGAATTTATCAATCAATGAGTTTACTGCTACTAATTCATAATTACCTCACTACTACATCTAAGCATATACAGATACTTGAAGCAATTGCTAGTTTCGGGGTGGGGGGGGAAGGTCATAAATCATGATCAAGTGACCGTGGTACACTACCATAAATGCAGGCCAGTTTCCCAGTGCCCAAAATGCAGTCATGTGACTGCAAGAGAAACAGATACCATAACTTTGAAATCAGTTCCCAAGTCCCATTTTTGGGGTCCATCATAACTTGTAATGGCCACTAAGTGACTGGTTATATATAAATCAAGGGCTACTTGTATCCTCATTTTGATCATCAGGGGAAAATATAGGGGAGGATACAGAAATATCGAGTGATATTGGCATCATATGGTAATAAAACTAGGACATTCTGGTAGCACAGTAAATGATTGTCCAAAAATCCTCGTATGTATTTGAGTGAATAGAAATCCCAAATATTAAGATGCAGGGAGCTGTAGCCTTAGCAGACTTGGAATGATCCTGATTGAGGAAGGCTAATTTAATTCAAGCAGATTCTTTCATAGTTGAGTGTATACACTATTTCTATTATTTGCTATTATTTTTGTTCTCTGTGGCAGCCACCAGATGTTCTTGGCACTTCAGCCTTATATTAGACTAGTCTTGTTGAACATTTCTTCTATTTAGCACTTGGAGCAATCAGCCCTTGAGGTATACATAATTGAGCCAGCTTTTCCAATCTCATTTATACATACAGTTTCAGGAAGTATATTAAGAGAGATTATTATTACCCTTGCTGAATTCAGTAATGACGTTATCTCTTTTACTATGTAACATGTTACTCCTTAAATGTATGAAGTGAAACAGAATTGAAAACTTGATCTGATTTTAGAAATCACAATATCGTTTATGATTTAGCATGACTCTTGAAAATCACACTGAATGTCAGTTATTATTTATTTGTTTGTTTGTTCATTTGTTTATTAGATTTAAATGATTGCTCATCTTAATTCCAGGTAGTTCATAGCAAGTTTCAAGTTGTGGTTTTCAGTAGGTAAGTTAAATAGCAATAGTAGTAGCACTTAGGCTTACATACTCTCCACAGTGCTTTACAGCACTCTCTGAGCAGTTTACAAATGTCAGTGTATTGCTCCCAACAATCTTGGTCTTCATTTTACTGATTTCAGAAGGATAGAAGGCTATTTCCCCTCTCTCTTCTTCTCCGCTTCTATCTCCTTCCCTTTCTACTAGAGAGGGGACAGGAGAAAGGGAAGAAGAGAGAAGAAGAGGAGAAGGAAGGAGGGAAGAAGAGAGAAGGAGAGGGGAGTAGAGAAGAGAGGGAAAAGAAAGAAGAGGAAAGGAGAGAGATGTTGTAAAAATGGGTGAAATATGGTGTACAGGAGAAAAGAAAACAGATGGACAATTTCGTGTTTTTTTTCCCTTGAGGGTTATACTATTGAAACTATAACAGAAGATAATATGGATGCTAAAGCACATCAGTTTAGATGTTATTGCATACTAGTTAATATTTATGTGAAAATTAAAATTTTGTGTAAAAGGTAGGAGTAAATAATATGAAATAAGGAAAATGGAATGTAATAATTAGGAATATGTTTATATGTATTGAAATGTATGATAGTCAAACATTGCACCATTCACACAATGATATGTATAAATTTTAAAAAAATAATAAAAACTTGATTTTTTTTTAAAAAAAGGATGGAAGGTTGAGTCAACCTTGACCCCAGCCAGGATCAAACTCCAGGCTGTGGGCAGTATTTGCCTGCAATACTGCATTCTATCCACTGTGCCACCAGGACTTCTAGGTGAATGTTCAGACTTGTTGTGTAAAGTATGTTAAGGTATGACAGGATAAAACCATTTTGGAGTATGGTTAGTTCACATACGTTTCCAGCTCCTTCCTCCAGTGCAGTAATAATAAGGAAAGAAACAGAAAAGGAATCTGAGGGGTGCAGCACAAATAGCATCTCTACCATTTAGAATCTCAGCCATACTTCCTTGTTCCCATAGCAACATCTGTCTTTAGAAGCACTTCTGCAGCTCAGCCATTAACCGGTTGAACTCCGGCATTAGTAAAACATAGTTTGGTAACTATTAACACTGAGTTCTGGAAAGCAGGTTCCCCACTGGAAGACCTCCTGCAAAATGCCTTTTCCTTCTCTCTCTGCATTGAAGTGCCCTGCCTTCATATCACTGGGCTTAATTAAACTGCTGAAATCAAGAATACCATTCTTCAGAGTGAGTTTGGCTCTCTTTTTTAGCATCATGGAAACATAGTGTAGTAAAGAATGGAGGCAACACTGAGTGGATACCAATTTCTATGCTTTCCTATTTGTCGCCTGAAGGGAAAGCTGATTATGTTGTAAAAAGTTTGTGCAAACACAAACATTAAAAGACACACATACACATACACACACAAACATGTTTCTGAAGATGAGGAGATTGAAATCAGTATGGAATACCAATATCTCATAGGTTATTTACACGGTGTATACTCATATCGTAATTCTATTTTCAAATACCCAAAATATTTCCAAAGCTTGTGATATTAACACTGATGTTTTAAATGATAGTTAATACTGATATTGATAGCTTTTCTTTATTTCTATCTTTAATGGTCTGTATTATCCAAACATTATAGAGCAGTGATGGCTAACCCTTTTGCCATCACGTGCCAGGAAGGGGGTGGGGTGGGGGAGGTTCATGCGTGCATGTACCCACACCCATAATTCTATGTGCCCTGCCCTGCGCATATGCGCGTGACCCCCCTCTCCCCCCACTCGTGGCACGTGATGGCCCGGTAGGCCCGTTTTTCTTTCTATCTGGCTCAAGATCTTCTCTATGCATCTGGGGAGGGCAAAAACAACCTTCCCCACCCCCTCAGAGACCCTTAATGGTCCATTTCCCAACTTCTGGTTGGACAGGAAGTGATGTCTTTTGCTGTCCCCAGCCTCCAGAGACTCCTAGAGAGGAGGGCCTCCGAGGGTGTGGGGAAGGCTGTTTTTGCCTCCCCAGTTGCATAGAGAAGATCTGGAGCCAGGTGAGAAAGAAAAACGGGCCTTCCCCACCTGCCACCCCCAGGCTCTCTGGAGGCAGGAAACAGCCTGTTTCCCTACTCCTGGTAGGCCCAGAAGGCCCAAAAATCAGCTGGCCAGCATGCACATGTGCGCCAGAGCTGAGCTGGCATGCCAGGCGACATGGCTCTGCATGCCACCTGTGGCACACGTGCCATAGATTCGCCATCATGGTTATAGAGTGTTAGTAATTTCCTGTTGATAACTATACAAATACTACTGAATCCAAATAAACCATATATGATGTACGTTTTTCAACAACGAACATAAAAGAAAAAGAGTCAGGGAAACAATCATTTTGCCTAAATTGGCAGAATATATTCATGTTGATTTTTTCTTGTTTTTTTCAAAACCATATTTAAATAAAACAAGAAGATATATTAATGCATCTTTATACTTCTTTTGCCTTCTTTCCCCATATCTTTTATTTAAATGTACATTTTAAAAAGAGTCTGAAAGTATTTAATTGCATGTAGCCTTCTTAATGTAGTGATTAAGTGCTATTTCATGGTTTTAATGTGTTGTTTGTTCATTTTCCTTTCTTCAGGTAGAAAAAATTTGAGGAGGAGAGGAAATAGAAGATTTTATTAGGTAACTGTTGGTTAAAAATATATTTTCGTAATGATGGAGAATATAGGCTTTTCTGAACTGCATAGAAGGAGGAAAATTGGGTGTAATTAGTTTGAATGAAAAATTAGCCCTATTGAATAGCAAACGACATTGTTGCCAATAGAAGCACATAAGTAATTAATGTGCTTAATTTAATTAAGATCTGTGAATAATCTATAGGAAAAGAATATTCCTCTCATTTAATTAAACTTTGTATAATCATTAATCCACCCTATATTTGGGGGGGGGGAGGTGTCAATGATGAATATTTCAATATTCTTATGGCATTTCATACATTTCAATTATTGGCAAAATGAAACTATCAGAACTGATTTGATCATATCTGATCAAGCATTTCTTTCATACATTTCAATTATTGGCAAAATGAAATCTATCAGAACTGATTTGGTCATATCTGATCAATCATTTCTTTTCTGTTAACTTTTAAGGCACTGTTCAATGGCAGCTGAAACAGAAAACAAATAGAAGAAACATATGGCTTTTTATATCAGCCCTGTTAAAATTTGATTTATTTGCAGCTTTACTCATGAGAAGCCATCAGCAAAACTCATCTTGGAAAGCAATAATTCATGAACATACTCATTATTAACATTGCTCACTTGCATCAAAATAAGTTCCTTACATATAAAAACAGTAGAAAAGGATTAGCAAATTTCATTTACCTAACTACAGAACAAATAATATAATGTTCAATGATCAATAATAACCATTTGTTCATTGTCAAATCAGATTGTAGTTCACCCTGAACAAAAAAATGATCCATTTTCTGTATATAAGGTAAGTATATTTTACATCAGCTATTAATTATTTTCTTTCCAATTGCCAAACAAGGACCCAGTTTGTGGGGACAATAAGCTGACTTTGTAAAAATTTACAAAAGGATGAAGGATATTGCTTAGCACATTGTAAGCCGCCCTGAGTCTCCGGAGAAGGGCGGCATATAAATCAAATTAAAAAAAAATATATTTATTATTCAGTAATAACAATATTCAAAAGTTAAAAGATAAACTTATACTTTCTGTGTTTCTCCAAAAATAAGACCCTGTCTTATATTTTTTTGAACTCTGAAATAAGCGTTTGACCTTATTGCCATGCGCTCAAAAGCCCGATTGAGCTTATTATCATGAGGTGTCTTATTTTGGGGGAAACAGAGTATCTATCCCATTAGTGAAAAAAAACCTCCTCTTACAGCCCATAATTTTTTTTATATATTATTGTGTAACAGTATCTCTTCATTATGATACTATTAACAAGATATTATATTGTGTTATTATGTACCAAGATAATGTTCCCAAGCACATTAAAATTCCAGGAAACTTCCATTACTGCAGTTTACTACAATTTTCATTTGGCTGTAATCTAGATTACAGCCAAAAATTTCAAGGTCTTGGCTGTGATGAGATGGTGAGATCTGTTCCTCCTTGTTGAAGCTACTGAAAACTGCACTGATGATGCTGAGCAGAACACAGGTCAACAGATGTCAGTTTTGGGCGATAAACCAGTTGGTAAAATGTCATTATAACTAATGGATGCCACTAATGGTTGCATTGTTGAACAAAGCACATAAAAACAGGCAGAACCTCAATGGTACCGTCAGAGCTGCATCTTGACTTTTTTAACCATCCCTGTTGGGAGGAATAATATTAAGAATTACTAATAATTAATAACATTCATATTAGAAAGATGATTGACTTAAAGAATATATATGTGTGCTAAGCTATAATTTTAATCAATTTTTATTATGGTCACAGACCAGCTTTGCTAAATTATAATTTACATGTATACATGATACATGCACACACACACACACACACACACACACACACACACACACAAGCTATCCATTTTAGCAAGATCATTGAAAATGATAAACACTAGCTATCCTTTTCAATTAATTGAAGTTAAATTAAATGGCAATCTGAATTTCTGAAAACTAATGGAGATCTGAAACTGTCTGGACAAGGAAGTTCTACCTAGAATAAGGTCCAGAAATGAAATGCTACAACATATTTCCTTCACCATTAAATCATTTTCTTTGCTTACTTTTCATCAAGGTGAATGGCATTCTCAAATCAAATATTTAACGCAATATTCTATGTCAATTTTGTTTTGCTTCATTGTGACTCAGTGTTAAGCATCTAGGCTAAGAGGTAAACACATGACAAAAAAAAAGCTGAAGCATTCAGGGATTTAATTATAATATGTCAACCTTTTGTATGTTTTCATAATATTCTTAACCTAAAAGAGAATAAAGTGATGACTCTGTCTATGTATATGGACTTTTAACTACAACAAAATAAAATAAGCTGACACATAATTTTATAAATATTCCTTTTCTAGGCATTTAGATAATTTAATACAAGAAAAAAAAATACTGTGACCTAATCAAAAGAAAAGGATAAATACAATAGTGAAATATGCAAATAATTTAGAAGCAATGTCAAAAATTGATGAGGATCTTTGCACTTTGGAATAGGACATAGAAGCCAATAATACAAAGTAGAAAATATATGAGTATAAGATAAAAAGAACCCTAATATGCAGCAGTACTTTCAGAAAGATCTGAATATCTTAAATATTATATTGAACATAATACAACAATGTACTATAGATACTAAACAAACAAACAAACAGCATTTTAGATTGCATCAACAGTAATATAGTTTTAAAACTGAAAGAAGACACTGTTCCTCTCCTTTCTGTACTGGTGAGCCCATACCTAGCTGGGGAATTCTAGGGAATTTAAATCCACAAGTCTTAAAATTGCCAAGTTTGGAGATTCCTGAACCAGTTCATACTCAGAACAAAACAATCAAGATGATAGGAACATGGAGTAAAAAAAAATCTCAATTATGAGAAATAATAAGAGTCCTTAAGCTCTTAGAGAGAAGAGAAGACTATAAGGACACATCATAGCTACTTTAAGTATAAAAAAAACTTGTTATATAGAAGCTGAGGATAAACATTCAGAGTCATTCCAAAAGATAAAAATAAATTGCATAAATTAAGAGGAAGTAAATTTCAAGAAGAAAAATTTCCATCGGTATAAGCTGTTCAATAATGGAAAGAATTGTCTGGTTGTTTGTATCTGTAGTGGATTCTCCTTTCACAGAGGTATTTAAATAGAAATTTCCAGGGTTGATCTAGTGTGAGATATTAAAAGAGGATCTGGCTGAAGGATCTAACTTCCCTTAACTACTTGAAGGACTCTGAATAGATTGAGAGTTGGAATGAAGAGTCTTTGTTGATAACGGCATGCTGTGTGAATGTGGTAAGACACGGAGCACCCCCCCCCACATCTGCTGGTATGTTGGCTACTACCAGAAACATGTACCAATAATGAATTATTTTTAGCCAACAACAAATCCAAGAAAATGGCTTTATTCTGGCAGTTTGATTTACACATGGAAGAAGAAGGAATAGAAGTTGGAGAGCCATCTTTTATAGATGCTGCAGTGCAATAATGGATTTCTCCACTTGATAGGGGATTTTGTTAGATATTTTCTTAGCTACCTTCCAATCCTTGGGTGACTCTATAACCTTTAGACAGTGTTTCTCAATTGTAACAACTTTTTAAAAATGGACTTAAATTCTCCAGAAAGCTAAGTGGGGAATTCTGGGAGACAAAATTCCCACATCTTAAAGTTGTTAAGATTAAGAAATGCTGCCATGAATGATAATTAAAAGATTAGATCTTCTTTCTAATCTCCTTCCGATTTTTAAAAGAAGACCCTGTATGAGATCAGACTATCACACAGATCATGACAAAGGTATTTGTTAAAGTGGCCCAAACTGAAGCCTTGAATGCATTTTTTGGAGACAAATATAAAATTCACCTTGGAACAGCTGTGCTTATTTGGAGACAATGTTAATATATAATAATCCACTCTTATGAAGCTCTATATAGTCAAAACAGTACCATCCAAGCATATCATATCTGCTACAGAAGTATTTATCCCTGGAAAATTAGCTGGCTCTCAGTTACAAGAAATAGGGTTAGTTCCAAAATGAGTACAAGTTTATTCCATGCTAGCTCTAAACAAGAATCTGAACTACTAATGATCAAGACAAACTGGTGGTAGATCAGAGTTGATGGGATTTAAGGAGAGCTGGACTTAGATTCTTAGGGGCAGAACTTCAAACTGATGATGCATTTGACCCCTCCCTTAGGCTCAGACTGGTCACCTCCTACACAGGCCTTGTGGAACTTCAAGCTTTAAAGAAGTAAACACTTTTAATTGGGGCGGGAGATGGAAAGACTCTCTAAGGGGAAGCGGAAACTCACTAAGCCGGAAAGGATGTTTTCAATGGCTTTTTGTATCTTAGCTTGTGGTTAGACATAGGAGCCTTGACACTTATTGCTTTTTAACTCTAATTGATGGGCAAATAGGATTTATTATTTTTATTGTTTTTGCTGCTCTTGTTGCTTTTATTGTCTTGTTTATATTGGTGTAAGACCATTATAAAATCACTGCTACTGCTGGTTATAGAAAGTTTATTGGTTGTTAGTAGTGGGAGTAATGAAAATTGTGTTATGACTAAAGACGTAATACAAAATTCTAAAAATGGCTAAATTCTTAATGGAGTCCATACTACAATTTGTTTGTAGATTCCATTTCTCCAGTTTAAGCCATTTCTCTCATTAGCTGAAAGAAATATGGTAAATATATTTATAGCAGCTAATAACATTTAGCCTTACAGATGTTGCCCTGCACTAACTAATGACTACTCAGGCTCTGGCTGATTGTTATTGTGAACATTAAAAAAACCTGAGGATTGTATTTATGTTTACAGGCATTTCAAATTATTGTGTTGGGAATTACAAGGAAAGACTATCCATTAAAGCAGTCACTTAAATCTATAAAAAGAGAGGAAAAACACCACCTGCTTTTGTTTTTGCTTTTTAAAGAGAATTATAACTTAAAATTATGGCAGATATTCACAATATTCTTTACAGCAAAATTAATCATGCTTGGCTCAGTGACTGTAAATAATGTCAAGAAATTTCCTCAAGCTTAAAAACATTGTTAGATGTAAAAAAAAAAAAAGTCATCCTGAATTTCAAAGCAGCTGATTATATTTCTTAAAAAAAACTACTTGCCATTTTGTAAAAGAAAGTTTTATCTTACCTACTGATTCTGAGTTAAGTTAAAAAAATAGAGTAAGAAGTCAATACTTTGATTACTAAGAGAAGACAAAACCATCGTTAATACAGTTGAAGGTACATTGAAGGTACATTACATAGTAAATCCACAGAAGTTAGTAGCTAAAAGGAATTTAGCAATCTGTTGGGAGGTGCCAAAATTCAGGCACAGCATAATCCTTGTAACACAGCATTGCATTTTTTTTTGTTGGTTACAAAAAAGAAATTGCTGGGTGAAGTCATTCATCACACAGGCTGAAATATCACTCTGCTGATGATACAGTTATATCATCAAGGCTATACAAGGGATGCTGCTGAGATGCTTACTCAGTGCCTTCAAGATGTGAGGATCTAGATGGGGACTCATCTCACAGTTATGACTCAATTCACACTGATAAGACAGATTGACTTTGTGATTTTGGGTTTCTGGAAGGATATGGATGTTCTGTCTTCAATTCTTGGTGATGCAGCACTTCTTGGATAAAATTGATGCAAAATTTGAGGCTTCTAGACTTGCTGTTCCTGATCAAAGAGCAGGTGGGATCCATTGTTAGGGGAGCTTTTGCACAAATCCATCTTGTGTGTCAAATGTGTCTATTCCTGGACACAATAACTTGTGGCCTGGTGGCTCAGCATACTGATAGCATTGTGATTAACACCAGCTGTCTGCAATTACTGTAAGTTCGAATCTCACCAGGCTCAAGGTTGACTCAGCCTTCCATCCTTTCTAAGGTAGGTAAATTGAGGACCCAGTTTGTGGGGGCAATAAACTGACTTTGTATAAATATACAAAAGTATGAAGGCTATTGCTTAACGCATTGTAAGCCGCCCTGAGTCCCCGGAGAAGGGCGGCATATAAATCAAAAAATTTTTTTTAAAAAAACCTTAGTCAGTTCCTGACTAGACTACTGCAAAGGGGTCTACATGAGCTTGCTCTTAAGGATCACTCAGAAGCTTCATCCAATGCGAAATGCTATGGGATGTGCTGTTTTGGGCATACTATCAGCTTTATGATTGTGGAATGAGTCTCAGTATGCCTACAGGTGCAGTTCAAGACTCTGTTTATCACTTTTAAAGCCCTGAATGGCTCAGGACCACATTACTTATGGAACTGTCTCTACCCATCACACCAGATCTGAAAGGACAGGTGCATTCCAGATTTTCCCTACCAAACAGTGTCACTGATGAGACAAAGGAAATATTCCTTCACTATCATGATGTCTGCCTGTGGAACAGGATTTCCCTAAGATCTGGAAGGCGATCCACTTGGCCTTTCAGAAGGCTATGAAGATTTGGCTGTTCCCACAGGTGCTGGGCTGTGATGTTTGTGGGGCCAATAGAGGCCAATCATAGACACTGATTTTCATATGGTACAGATGTACCTGTCTTGCAGAGGCTAAATGACCTGCTTGGAGAAATGAGTGCTGCTTTGAGTTTCATAATGGAAAGTAAAAATCGTATGATACATCCACTTGTTTTCTA